TTAATGCCTGAATTAATCAAGTAACAGAAAGTGCATTGACCTGAATGATTGTCCTTTGTTGAATTCTTGCTATATATATTCCACAACATCTAATTTTTCCAGCATGTTTAAAAAATTTATTTGATGCAGTTTTTGTAAAAATTGTCTTTTTTAGGGCAAGTCTAGTTTTTATTCATGCAAAAAAAAAAAAAAAAAAAGCATAAAATGTAATATCAATATAAACTGAATTTGTTTATAAAATGTATCTAAATGTAAGGTCTACATAAACCATACATTTATTAAAAACATGCATGATTGTTTCGTAATCTTTTCCCATTGTCAGCAGTATCTTGCCTCGGAGACAGAATGTATAGCTTCTTTCTTTTGAATTTATAATGAAATGTTTTTAAGCTTGTATTTTATCAGGGATTTCCTCAAATCTGTATAGGGAATGCAAGATCACAAGTCTGATTGATGTCGGGCTGATATCAGATTAAACAAAAAAAGCGAAATGTAAGCTCTGGCAAAATATGTGTAGGAAAACTAGAAGTTCGACCAGCAAAACATCCATTAAAAATATATATGTATGTATATATATTTTATTTATCAGCGTAAGCAGGAAGAAAGAAAATATCAGGGGGAAAACCGTTTCAGGTGGACAACAGGAATGTTAATAAACAAAAATTAGGATAGGGTAATAAAAGAGGGCGGTATTGTGACATCAGGAACTATAAAGTTTCGGCGTGTCCTTGGCTTATTTCGCTGTCCACTTTTGTATGTATGTACATTTTAGTTTATTATGTATGTCTGTATATCAGTCCGTCCATACCTTGATCAAACCGGTGCCGTCGGTAGGGAAGGGTTAGCTTCTGAAATATCCCTGACGTGACTTCATTATCCCAGGCTAACGATGTGTTCCGAGTTCACTCTGACAGTTTTTTAGATGTGTTCTCGACCGTTCCCTGAGTACTCCACAGAACAATTATAGGCTATTCATCTGGCGGAACGCGGGCCAAATCTGGCCCGCTGAGGCCTAGCGAGTGGCCCGCGGATCATTGCTGGTTGTATTGAATTAATGGTCATTCTTCGCTGGGTCTCGGAAATCCCTAATTTCACAATTTTTGCCCCTGAGTACACTTAAATTGACTAACTTAGTTGAAAAGCCCTGGATATAGGTATTCAAAATATGGTATAGAAACAGAAAGCACAACAAGAACTACTTACATTTTAGCTGTCCCATAATGTAGTCACATAATCTATGTAAATCCATTACTGTATGAATTTAGCCAGTTTTCTTTTCTTGGACAATTTCTCCAGCAAGGATGCATCGCTTTGGACTTTCATCATTGAAATATACGTGTAAACTGCATGGCACAATATGCATAAGTTTGCAGGCAAGAAATTTCATTTCCAACTCCGCTGATATCAGAAGCTTCTACATAGCTGCACGTGCTACAAAAGTCAATCAAATTAAAAACTTTGAAGGGTATTTCAAACCTCCACGGTCAAGAAGCTGTATGTAGTCTATGGACATTGCACCTGAGTCAACGCCATATGCTTATGGCCTGTCCAGCTGCAGTAAAGTCTTGCAACCAGCACACTGAATTTTAGGTTCAGCTTACTAGAGACAAATCCAGCAATATTCACCAGTTTCTCCTCTGAACCTTCTGAAACCAGTAATTCACAGTCAGTTACGTCTTCATGAAAAAAAAAAAAAAACCCACCTAGTTCATGTCCAGCTGAACAGCATCAGTATTTATATCATCCATATTTTTCCCTTCATTGCTGCTAAAAAACTCTGATAAGTAACGGATAGGAAAATATCCATGTTGGCGAGGACATACTTAGCAGTGAGTAAACTTTTAGTTTCTTTTCTGCTTCTAAAACCTGCTGAACAGATACCAAGTAATTTGCTCCTGACAACTGCCGATATTCGCCAAACCGAGCTTCTAAGTTGTCAGTCTGCAGCTTTCGAAAAAGTATAAAACTGGCTTCTGTGGTTGCAGATATTTGATTAAAGAAAGCACTGCGGTCACTGAATGCAGCAGGACACTGTGTGTTTTCTTAGTCATTTTTTCTTGACAGCCAGTCAGCTTGTCCCACTTTCTTAGCCTTTCAACAAACTGTTCAAGATAATGAACTTGTTAATCATTATTTGACAATATAGGATTTGAGAATGAGTTCAGTGTATTTTTACCTACAAATTTACTTTCCACATTAACAATATGCCACCATCTAAGGATGGCCTCAATAAAATCTGCTGTTTCATTACTGCCCACTAGACACAGAGTAGCAATACTGTATATATTAAAAATTGCTAAAGCAAGAGGAACGTTCTGTCTGTTCATTCTGTAAAGATATATCGCTTTGTGGGAAAGTTTAGGTGCCTGTTTTGCAATATTCTTCTGCTCACTAGAATAGTTTCTTTAAATGAGAAAAGTTAGCTTCTGCAGCTCCTTCATTATCACAGGCGTTTAGCATTTGTCCAGTTTTTAAAGGAAACATAAACGTATGGTATGTG